GAACCACCGCATATCACCCAGCAGCAAATGGCATAGTAGAGCGTTTTCACCGCCAATTAAAGGCAGCGATAAAATGCCACCAAAACGAGCGATGGACTAGTATTCTTCCCACTGTGCTATTGGGAATACGTGCAGCATGGAAAGAAGACATTCAAACTACCGCGGCCGAGATGGTGTACGGACAACATCTACGCCTACCCGGAGAATTTCTTCATTCCCGCAGGACAAACGAAGAGCTCAGCACCGAAGCGAATTTTGTGAAGGATCTCAGACGTCATATGGAAAGCTTACGTCCAGCCGGAGTTAAACGCCATGTCGACAAGACGCCATTCGTTTTTAAAGACTTAGCAACAGCGACGTTTTTGTGCGTGCGGACGGCGTTAAAACTCAACTACAGAACCCATATGATGGTCCGTTTACAGTAATTGATCGTGACGACAAAACATTCACGGTGTTAGTGCGTGGTCGCGAAGTTAAAGTGTCCATAGACAGAGTCAAACCAGCGTATTGTTTGAATGATGGGACAGATACCAGGAACGAGAACAATAGCCTTCCATCAATTTCTGCCCCATTATCTGTGCCAACCACACCCAAGGTAATTACCACTAGGTCCGGTAGAAGGGTCCGTTTCCCTGACCGACTGCAAGTTCCGTGATGGCATCCATACTGGCAGGGGGGTGTGTGGGTACACATGTTCGCAAGTGACCCATTTTTAAGCACGACGTCAAGAGCACCGCAGGACGCCGCCGCCGCCGGACGAACCGGCGTTCCAAGAAGGGTCTACTGGCGCCGGCAACCAGACGCGTACCCAGATACCTACGACCGAATCCACACTAGGCTCTCCAGCAAACCCTCAAACCACCGTCAACACGTCTTTTTCCACAAATTTAGTTTTCAATAAAATTCTTTATTATTACCGTTGAGAGAGCGTTTATTTCTTGCTGTACAGCGAAAGCAACCCTCAATATAATTTATATATGGCCATGTGGGCACATTCGCTTTTATTTTTTAACTGAATTTGACTTGAAAAATTTTGCTTTCCAAGTTTCCACTTTCACATTTTAATTTTCAATAATTGGATGGCGGGCGCTCACCAACGTTATCACATAAGTATATTTATATTTTATCTTATGTTCATTTGAATTTGCGCAAGTAAACGAAGTTGTAGGGGGAATAATCATCCAATAGTGACACATTACTCACTATATCCTGCACAAACAAGAAAAGTTTTAAAAAATTATAGGTTTCTAGTTGTAGTATCTGCACGCTTTTTTCAGGTAAAGATTTATTATATGCACCCTAATAACAGACAAAACCAAATAGGCCCCGATTTCGATTTTTCCCGACGGCCTCTGAAAGAGCCAGGCCGGGCCTGGCTGTGTTATGTTTGAATCTCCATCCTTAAAATTACATGAAATATTATATGACTTCCATCACTGGAAAGGTAAATAAGCACTAATGAAAACAATCGAAGTATTAAGAAGCACTAACAAATTACATAAATTTTATTTCGATTCTGAACATATTGGAGACATTCAAATAAAAGAAAAAAGAATTCTGAAATTAGAGACGCATTAATGAAAATAATTGAAAAACTAAAGAGCACTAACGAGGTACTAAGAACACTGAATTATTGATAAAAAAATTGATACCTTGGGTGCTAAATTTACAGACCTCATCTAGTAACGTAGTTCATATTTAGGCCCGGTACTTTGAGTCTTAGTTAAACCCTGGTTAAGTAATCACATGATTGGACTGTATATATACGGATTTATTTTACAGTTGTATATTCACAGTCTAATCGCCTGATTAGTTAATCAAGGCTTTACCGAGACTCAAAGTACTGAGCCTTAGTGGAACATAATGACAATACAGCTGCCTTAACTTCTAAAATTAAATTTTTAATATTTTAGGACATTTGAATGTTGTGTTGATGTGTTGTAGCATTGTGTGGATAAAATAAATAAAATGATAATTTACCATGCTTATCTTAAAAAGTACTGCTTAAGGGCGCCTTATCAAATAATAGGAATGTTATGTCATGCCACCTGAGTATTTTCAAAAACGCCGCAGTAAAAGGAATAAACAGGTGCAAAAAACGATCAAACCATCAAGGTTTTAGGTACTGAAATCTACGAAAATACTAACTTTTTTATATATAACTCCACATGTAAATATTCTTATAACACTTACTTGCTTAGTCCTACATATAAAATTGTTTACTTTTATTTATAAGTACGTGAAAATAATTCTTAAAATGTGGGGTTAGAATAACAGCAAACGCATGTTTTACAAACGCTTTTTTTTTAGTTATTATTT